AATAAACTTTATTTTTTTAAACAGCAGGGGGCAGGATCAGCACTGATCCGGCTCCCTGCACTTCACACAGAACCCGGAAGTGCAGGGAGCCGGTAGGTGAGTATAGAGAGCACATGTGCTCGCTCAGACTTGCGGTCAGAGCGAGCACATGTGCTGGGCAGCTGACCGGGTGCTCCCGGTATGCCTCCAATACAGAGGCATACCGGGAGCACCATTAACCCCGCGATCGCCGCGATAGCGGCGATCCGGGGTTAATTTTACCGCGTGACGGACGAGGTCCGTCACCCGTCGTTAAGGGTCTCCCCTCTGTGACGGACCTCGTCCGTCACCCGTCCTGAAGGGGTTAAAGTAAAGAATCACAGAGCAATGGAGTTAAGTACAAAATAATGGAAGAAGATTTTTTTTTTTTTTTTTTTGTCAGATGTGTAACAAATTTATTGATGTAATCGTTGGTTGTTCTCACCTTAAGGGTATTAACTAATTATGTGGAAAAATGGAGTTAAAAGTAAATATGTCTAAGTATTAATCAGATTCCAATTTAATGAGGTGGTTAAAAGTAAATTATTCACATGTATTAGTAAGTTAAGAAGACATAGATTCACTTAAAGTAAAAAATTGAAAGTTAATGGAGCTAAGTATAAAAGAGGTTTTTTTTTTGTTTTTTGTTTTTTCTCTCTTTCTCACCCTCTTGGGGAAAGATTGCAAACTTGTAAATATTACTACCTCTTTCTGGATACCCCCACTTAGTGTCTAATTCAAAGACACAGTAAAGACTGAATTTCTAAATGAAAATTTACAGTCTTTGTGTTAAAAAAGGAGGATTTCCTCCTATGATTTTAATATTTTGTTTTGTGTGTTTGTATAGATATGTTTATGCAGCAATAGGGAAGGGTAATGGGTATCGAGTGGAAAGGGATGCAGAGAAGTTTTTGAAGATAATATGATAAAAATGCTTACACTTAATGTTCAGGGATTGAATACTATAGCGAAAAGAAATTTATTGTATAAATACCTCAGTGAAAAACAATTGAATTTAATATTTTTACAAGAAACTCACTGGAGACAAGTGGATAAACAAAATTGGGGGGGTAAAAGATTTCCACTTATAATTCAAGCTTCCAATAAGGAAAAAAAAAATGTGGAGTAGCTGTGGTATTTGGAGAAAAGATTAAAGTTGAAGTAATCCATCAAATACAAGATACTAAAGGTAGATATTTAATAATAATATGCAAAATTGACTCTGTACTTTTTACATTATGTAATATATATCTTCCTAATCATTTACCAGTTGCTTACTTAAAAACAATTTTGGAAAAAGTAGATGAAGTCAAAGTGGGAAAGTTAATACTGGCAGGGGATTTTAATGCTGTATTGGACCCTCAGATAGATAAAAAATTAATGAAAGGAAATACTTTAAATCAGATGGTGATAAAACAAGCAAAAGCTTTAAAAAAAATTAAAGACGAATATAATTTATTTGATATTTGGAGAATTTTTAATCCTAATGAGAGAGACTATACGCATTTCTCTAAAGTGCATTTTTCCTATTCAAGACTGGACATGATTTGGGTCGATCCAAGTATTATTGATATGACCAAAAAAACAAAGATTGATGAGATAGTTTGGACAGACCACAATGGAGTTTTTTGTGAAATGATTTTTAGTACATTTAAAAGAGAAGCCTATACTTGGCGGTTAAGAGATAATTTGCTTTGTTGTGAATCAAAAAAAACTTATATAAGAAATAATATAGAAAATTATTTTAAAGAAAATACCTCAGAAAATATTGATTCATCTATTTTGTGGTGTGCCTTTAAGGCTGTTATAAGAGGTCATATTATCAAGCTACAAAGTCAGCTTGACAAAAACAATACTTTGGCATATTTACATACAGAATTAAGAAATTTGACTCATATTAATAAACAATCTCCATCTCCTGAAATTTATGAAAAAATATCAGAACTTAAAGAAAAAATAAAGCAAAAATTAATGGATACGATAGCTAAAAATATGGATAGATTAAAACTTAAATATTACTCTAAAGGCAATCGAGCTGAAAAGATGCTATCCCAAAAACTTAGAAAACAAAAAGGACAAAATAAGGTAGATAAAATAATACAGAATGGAAAAATAGCATTAACCCCTAGAGAGATTGGAAAGTGTTTTAATGAATATTATGCCAATCTATATAATATTCCTCAGATTAATACAGATGAGGATATTAAAAATTATTTAAACAATATAAAGAAGCTTCAATTAACATCCACTGAAAATGATCTTTTGAATAAACCTATAACTATGGAGGAGATTATGAAAGCAATAAATGATTTAGAAAGATCTAAAACACCAGGCCCGGATGGGTTTAGCAACCTATTTTATAAAACATTTAAAGATTTAATATGTCCACATTTGACCTCTGCTTTCAACATAGCGGCAAACAGAGGATTTTTACCAGCAGAGATGCTTAAAGCTAATATCTTGCCTATTTTGAAAAACGATAAAAACCCCACTGACATCAAAAATTATCGTCCGATATCTTTAATAGATGTAGACACTAAGTTATATGCTTCGGTTTTGGCTGCCAGAATAAAAAAACTTCTTCCACTAATTATTCATAAAGATCAAATAGGATATGTTCCAGGTAGAAATTCCTATACAAGTATAAGGAAAATTATTAATATCTTGGATGACGCAAACAGAAATGATGTTCCAGTTCTGACTCTGTCGATTGATGCTGAAAAAGCATTCGACAGAGTCAGCTGGAAATACTTAGAAGCCGTTTTACTACATTATGGATTGGAAGGTTGGATTAAGAAAGCTATAATGGCATTATACGTAAATCCAGTTGCACGAACTATTGGACCTAATATTGTCGCCCCATGGTTCCAACTTAGAAATGGTACCCGGCAGGGTTGTCCCCTTTCACCATTGCTCTACTTGCTGACTATCGAGCCATTGGCTGAGAATATTAGGAACAATAAAGAGATCCACGGTTATAAAATAATGGATGAGGACCAAAAAATTAGTTTATATGCTGATGACATTTTAATTACTCTCACAAACCCTAAAAATTCTTTAGAGCACATAATGCAAGAAATAGAGCGATACAGCCTTATATCAAATTATAAGTTAAATACAAATAAATCTTTGATATTAGATGTTAACCTAAATAAAAAGATACAACAAGAGATTAAAAATAAATATGATTTTATTTGGGTTAAAGAAAGTATGGATTACTTAGGAATTAAAATAACTAGAGAGATAAATAAGATTATGGAAGTAAATTTCCTAACATTATTATTAGACCTTAATAAATGGTTAAAAGATCGTAGAAACTTAGAGATTACCTTTTGGGGACGAATAAATGTTATCAATTCATACGTCATACCAAAGTGGAATTATATGTTTCAAATGCTACCTCTCCATATCCCAATCCATTGGCTTCAATTAATACAAAGAAGTTTTACTCAATACATTTGGAAAGGCAAGAAGCCAAGATTGAAACAGTCAATATTAGTGCAGAAAATACATAAAAGTGGACTTGACTATCCATTTATAATGAATAATTTTAAAGCAGCTACTATCCTACATGTTTATAGAATGCAAATGAAAGAAAATAAAGATGAGGGATGGTATAAAATGGAATTGAAGGCAGGAGAAGTTTCTAGCTTAGACTGTTTAATTTGGAATATAATAAAATGTCAAAGAAAAAAAGAGTATGCCAGTATTATTTTAACTCAATTACTGGAAAATTGGTTAAAAATTAAAAAAGCAATGAATATAGAAAAAAAAGTTCCAAGTTATTTAGAGTTAGATATTGTAGAAAAACAAGTGGAAGACTTAAACTTAAATAATTGGAAAAAAGTAGGGATAACGACTTTGGACCAATTATTGATAGAAGGATCAATCAAAACCTTTGCTCAAATAACAGGGATATATAATCTTCCTCCTAGAGAGGTGTTTAATTTCTTAAGACTTAAAAGTTATATGAATACACACCTTATAATACCAAAATCTAACCTGAGCAATTTGATAGATTTATTATTCACGTCAAAAAAAATTAATAAACCACTTTCCAAAGCTCTAATATTAATTAAATCAATGGTTAAAGATACAAATCCTACTGCCATACAGGTTTGGAAACAAGATTTGAATATCGATATTAATTTGAATCAATGGGGTTCTTCAATGATGGATGTTAAGAAAAATATACATTCATTAAATTTATTAGAAACTCACTTTAAAGTTTTAAATAGGTGGTACTTAGTACCAGCTAAATTGAATAAAATTTACTCTCTAATTAATCCTATCTGTTGGAGATGTAATAGTATTAGAGGCAATTTTAGACATATTTGGTGGGATTGTCACAAACTAAAAAATCTCTGGTTGAAAATATAGCATTTTATATCTAATAATTTAAAACTCGAGTTGATAATTTCTCCAGAGGTAGTTCTACTGCATCTGAATTGGCCTCATATGACATATGAATTAAAAGCAATTCTTATACATCTTTTTTTAGCGGCTAAAATAGTAATTGCGAGATGGTGGAAAAAGGATTTAGAAGTCCCCTGGAAGAAAGTTAAAATTCAACTCGAGTTTCAGATTAGAATGGAGCTGATGCTAAGTAAACAAAGATTAAGCAATAAGATTTCTGTTTGGTCAAAGTATATTGAGATGATTGATGTAGAAAATAATGCCGATCAATTAGAAGTAGAATAATTCCATGAACATTGTAAATAATTATGAGACTTATCTAAATGATATTACCACTCTACTACGGAAATCTTTTCGATGTATTTTTCTCTTCCCTCCCCTATTTTGCTGCTATGTTGTTTTTGTATTATAAATGTATATTTGTATGATATTTGTATTTGTATGATATAAGTATTTAATAAGGTTTAAAAAAAATAAAATAAAATAAAAAAATAATAAAATAAAATATATAAAATAAAGATTAAATATTCAAAAAAATAATATCTATTTCCTCTCTCTGATCACCACGTTTGCTCTCTCTAGTACCCCCTCACGCAACAACCTTAGCCTAACCCAGCTCAACTAAGGAGGAACCTTAATTCTATTGACTTCAAGAAGCTGTCAGCTGATATTGATTCACAACTCCTATCCATCACTTCCATCTCTTGTCCCTCACTGGCCATCTCCACAAATAACACTACTCTCTCCTCTGGCTTGAACGCTGCAGCCCCGCTCCAAACATGCACCTCGAGGAGATCGCACCCCCAACATACTAAATCAACACGCAACCTGCAAAGATGCTCTTGTTGTGTTGAATGCTCCTGGAGGAAGTCTTGCACCCAGTCAAATTTTCTCCATTATAGATTCATATTGTGTTCATACATCACAGCCCTTGCCCTCGTCAAACAGCCATACTTTTCCTTTCTCATTAGTTCATGCTCCCACAATCCCAGGCGTCTCTTTGACACCTTTAATTCTCTTCTTTGCCCTGCTGTGGCCACCCCACAAACTAAACTTACAGCCGATAGCTTTGCATGTTACTGTATCGACAAGATTGAACAGCTTCTTCCCACCCTGCCTTTCTCTTTCTCAATCACATGTAGATCATGCCTTTCCTACCCTTCAGACTTTCTCCCCGGCTACTGAACAAGAGGTGGCTGCACTTCTCCTTTCCTCTCGTCCCACCACTTGCCCGCTCAATCCTATTCCATCTCACCTTATCAGATCTCTCTCCCCATGTCTTGCGCCTTCCTTAACACACATCTTCAACTGCTCTCTCTCTTCTGGCAATGTCCCTGCTGACCTTAAACATGCCACTGTAGTGCCTATCCTGTAAAAAACATCTCTTGACCCGTCCTCCCCTCTAACTATCGACCCATATCCCTGCTCCTTTTCTCCTCAAAGCTTCTGGAAAGACTTGTCTTTACCCATATGTCTCACTTCCTCAATTCCAACTCTCTCCTTGACCCTCTTCAATCTGGTATCCGCTCTCTCCACTCTACTGAGACTGCTCTTATCACAGTTACTAACAACCTAATCTCAGCTAAATTCAAAGGCCACTACTCTATACTAATTCTTCTTGACCTCTCTGCTGCCTTTGACACGGTTGATCATGCTCTCCTTCTTCAAACTCTTTAATCACTCGGTCTCTGTGACTCTGTCCTCTCGTGGTTTTCCTTCTATCTCACCCAACACTCATTCAGTGTCTCCTTTTCAAATGATACCTCCTCCCCTCGTCCTGTCTCGGTTGGAGTCCCCCAAGGCTCTGTCCTTGGTCCCCTTCTATTCTCTCTTTATACTATCTATCTTGGCAAACTTATTACCTCTTTTGGATTCCACTATCACCTGTATGCAGATGACACCCAGATATCTCTCTCGTCCCCGGACCTCTCCCCCTCCGTCCTGCAACATGTCACTGCTTGCCCTTCTTCCATCTCTGACTCGATGTCCTCCTGCTTTCTGAAACCCAATCTCTCTAAAACTGAGCTACCTTTCATTTCTCCTCCTAATACCGATCCTCCTCTTTCGCTCTCCCTTCAAATTACTGGTATTCACATAAGTCCATCCTTGCAAGCGCTCTGTCTTGGCGTCATACTTGATTCTAGCCTAAACTTTGAGCCTCACATCCAGTATGTTGCCAAATCCTGTAGATTCCATCTTAAAAACATAGCCCACATCCACCCCTTTCTTACGCAAGATTCTACCAAGCAGCTTGTCCATGCTCTAGTAATTTCCCGCATGGTTAATTGTAACCCTCTCCTAATTGGTCTTCCCAAAAGCCGTATTACCCCACTACAGTCTGTAATGAATGCTGCCGCCAGACTGATTTTTCTCTCTAGTCGGTCCTCTCACACCTCACCCCTCTGTCAGTCCTTATATTGGCTTCCTGTATCCTATATGAGTCAATTCAAAGTGCTACCCCATACCTATAAAGCACGGAACAATTATAGCCCCTCTTAAATCTCCTCACAGATCCATAAGTATGTGCCCCTTCTCGGTCTCTCCGCTCTGCCCGTGACCTTCTCCTGTCCGCTGCTCGCACCCATACGGCCAACTCACGCTTGCAGGACTTCTCGCGGGCGGCTCCCTTCCTATGGAATAGCCTGCCTACCGCCATTAGACTCTCCCCTAGTCTTCAATAGTTTAAGAAGTGCCTTAAAACCCATCTCTTTAGGAAAGCTTATGGCCTCCCAGTAACCTCTACCTCTACATACCTGTCTCTCTCTCTCCTAAAGGTCCGAATTTTACTCTCTCCTCCAGCTCTGCTTCACTTCCACCTTGCTTGATTGCTATTTCCTGTCCTAATTAGTGATGTACCGAACGGTTCGCCGGCGAACGGTTCCTGGCGAACATAGCATGTTCGCGTTCGCCACGGCGTGCGAACATATGCGCGGTTCGACCCGCCCCCTATTCGTCATCATTGAGTAAACTTGGACCCTGTACCTCACAGTCAGCAGACACATTCCAGCCAATTAGCAGCACAGCCTCCCTAGCAGACCCTCCCACCTACTGGACAGCATCCATTTTAGATTCATTCTCAAGCTGTATGCTTAGTAAGAGGAGGGAAAGTGTAGCTGGTGTTCATAAGATAGGGAAAAGCATAGCTAGGTTAGGGATAAGGGTATGCTTTTTTTGGATTTTTTTTTT